CCCTCATTATTCCCCTCCTTCTCTCCCCCTCCCCATCCCTCTTCCCGCCCCTCCTCCTCGCCCTCGCCCCCCTCACCCCACCCCACTCCCTCCCCCACCCCCACCCCTCCTCTCCAAGTCAAAGCTCCTGCCACCTCATCCTCCCGTCCCGCCTGCCACCTCGCTAGGGAACGTGAGCACGCCACGTGATCCCCCGCTTCCTCCTCAACCTAGTCCGCCTCCTCCTTGCGGGCGGAATGGGGGGTGCGGGGCGGGGGCGTGTCATCAGCAGAGTGTTCTCGTCTCTGGAACACCCAGCAATGTCTAGCACGTACATCACTTCTCGGCCTTTCTCTCTGCGCAAGCAGCATGCCAGGGGCCTCCGTTGGGAATACTGGAGAAGTTAACGTCGCGTCCTCCACCATACCTCCCTCCGCCTCCTTCTTACTCTCCCTACTCGCTCCATTACCCATTCCTTCTCCATCTCCCTACCTCCGTCCCCACCCATCCCCGATCCTCTCACATCCAAGTTCATTCCTACTTATCCACCTCCTCCACCTCCTCCTCCGTCTCCTCTCTCCCCTCCCACCTCCCCCTCCCATCCTTCTGCCGTCGCCGTCGTTGGCGCCGAAGTCGACGTCCTCATCGCCGAACTATCGCCATCGTGATCGTGGCCATTTCGAGCACCCGAGTGCCTGCCGTCGCCTCGTCGGGTTGTCCCTGATGCGCCTGCAGTGTTTCAGCAGGCAGCTAATCTTGTCTGCGAAGCCCGACGCACGCTTCACCAGCGGGCCAGGAGGCTCTCGCCCCACTGTGGGGTGCCTCGGAAAGGGGTGCAATAGGGCACCCTACAATCATTCCCCTGTCCTCACTGCGCTCCTCCTCCGTCCTCCGTCCTCCGCCTCCTTCTCCTCCTCCTCATTCCCCCCTTCCTCCCCCCTCCTTCTCCTCCACCTCATCCCTCCTCCGCTTCCTTTTCATCATTCCTCGCCGCTCTGCGATCTGACGACCGTCTGACGTCAGACGATCGTCAGATCTGCATGTGTGATCTGACAACCGTATGACGTCAGACGATTGTCAATCATGTGTGTGCGACCTGGCAACCGTCTGACGTCAGACGATCGTCAGACATGAGTGTGCGATCTGACGAACGTCTGACGTCAGACGATCGTCAGATCTGCGTTTGCGACCTGACAACCGTCTGACGTCAGACGATCGTCAGATCTGAGTGTGCGATCTGACGACCGTTTGACGTCTGACGATCGCCAGATCTGTGTTTGCGACCTGACAACCGTCTGACGCGAGACGATCGTCAGATCCAGATTTGCGCCGCTACTACAGTCGATCGTCAGACGATCGAAGATGAGGTGATGAGGGGTGAGGATTAGATTTCGAAACAGGAGGAGAGAGGATGGGGCAAGCGGATCAGGAACGGAGGGAGGGGGGGCGGAGCAGGAGGAGAGGAGGAGGAACCACGAGAGATGAAGGAGGAGGAATGCGCCTGCTGGAAAAAATCATGTATTTAAAATCTCTGCTTCTCGTCATCCTCCTCTTCCTGATCCCATCCTTATCCTCCTCGTTCGCTGTCGGAGCCTCTGCAATACCATCTCCATGGCAGCGCGGAGCTCGACGAAACTGATGTCCGCCTCGGGGCTAGCGTTCAGCAGGATCTCCAACTGGGCGGATGCCCCTCCCCCCCCTAAAAACAACATACTCTACTGTATGGATTAATTTCAGGGCCCCCGAAAAGCTTTAGGGCACCGCGAAAATTCCAGAACCTCGGGCCGCAGTTTTTTTTTTATGAAACAGTTTTCCAGGAGCCAAGATTCGCCATCGGGCCCTGATTCCCCTGGAGGCAGTAACGCATTCGCAGGCCCTCACATCTGAAGACGCCTTGCGAGGAGGGGGAGGAGGAGGAGGAGGCTGAGCAGAAACACGAGGCGGAGGAGGACGATAGAGCGGAGAAGGATGGAGGAGGAGGACGGGAGAAGGAGGAGGTCCCGCCCGAGGCTGATCATCATCATCATCATCATCATCATCATCATCATCATCATCAGCATCAGCAGCAGCATGATCATTGTCATCATCATCATCACCATCATCATCACCATCATCATCACCATCATCATCACCATCACCATCATCATCAACAGTCAGCTCTTATTGTTTTCCTGTCCGTCTTTCTGCTGCACTCCCGCTTCTCTCCTGATCCGCTTTCTCGTGCCTCCTCGTACACTCTCCTCTCGTCCCCCCTCTCCCCCCCATCGGCAGCCAGCCGCCAGGCTGTCCAGCTGCGCAAGGCTCGGGCCATGCACGGCATGGTCTTTGTGGAGGTGGAAATATTGGCCCAACCGAAACGCACCCCTCACCCCCTCGGAGTCTACGTACGAAAGGAGGGCCTGCCCGAGGGACGTCGGGTCACCGTCGCCCTCGAAGGGCGGGCAGGCCATGACTCGCTGGGGGGGGGTGAGGGGTGCGTGCTGGGCCTGGAGAGGGCGAGAAGGCCCTGGTGCCAAAATGGCTATGCAGCGGCGTTGCACGTTGCTCCTCATCCTCCTTGTTACCCTCCTGTCCCACTTTTCCTCTTCCTCTCTTTTCCTTCCTCCTTCCTCCCTCCTTCTGTCTCCCTCCTTCCTCCATTCGTCGTCCTCTCTCATTCCTCCCTCCTTTTCCCTCCCTTTTTCACTTTCTATGTGTCTTATGTTTCTATATGTCTCTCTCTCGCTTTCTGTGTCGCACTACCCTTTGGGCCCCTTCCGAAACATATCATCGCTTCATCGCCGCCATTATCGTCATCGCCAAACCCAGCATCACACATCACACCATCATCATCATCATCGTCATCATCATCATCATCACCATCATCATCATCATCCTCATTCTCATAATCACCATCATCATCATCGTCATCATCATCATCATCATGAACATCATCATCATCATCATCGTCATCATCATCATCATTCTCATCATCATCATCAACATCAGCGTCACAAACATCATCATCATCACCAACATCGCATTGGCGTCCACCAGTCACAATCAGAGTGGCCATCATTTTGAAGGTCCCCTTGAACCCTCAGCGGTGGACGAACCACTGGGCGGTCTCCCCGCCCCGCGTCAGCCGCGGCTCGCGCTCGTAGCGCAAAGACCTGCGGGAATGGGCGCTTATAGGGGGGGGGGGGGAAGTGGAGAAAGAGGGAGGCGTGGGCGACCCTCGAAAGCGGCCGCCCCAGCAGTGCCACACGCACTGCAGGTGGCCGTCTTCGTAGTCGAAGCGCAGCCACTGCACGCCATTGTCTGGCGGCAGGGGCGCCGACGGGCACCACGCCCGCCGCCAGTGGGTCCCAGCGCCTGGGATGTCCCACTCGGCCTTGGACCACCCCGCTGGGATCCGCCAGCAACGCGGCGCCCATGGTGGGCGCTGCGTGGGGGCGGGGTCCGCCCAGAAGGCGGGCTTCGGCCCCCTGCGGTCGGTCATCCCGCCAGAGCCTATACAGCATCGCCACCATCGTCATCAACAACATCACATTCATCATCAAAACAGTCAGGAGTAATGAGTATCTCTTCGTCGTAGTTTCATTCATCACCGACAGCATGAATCGTCATCCATTCCTCCTCCCTTCTCCTCTGCTTCCCTCCTCACTCTTCTCACCCCCGTTCCCCCCACCCCTCTCTTTTCCCTTCATGCACAAAGTACGCGAAGCTACCCTGGCAAGGGATAGGCAGAAAAAAAAGGAGAGGCGCGACGCAGAAGGATGATAGGGGGAGGAGGGATGCGAAGAAGAGAAGAAAGCAGAGGAGGAGGAGGAGGAGGAAAATGACGTCTGACAATGATCTGACGTCAGATCGGTGTGGGGATGCTCAGTCTGACAATGATCTGACGTCAGATCATTGTCAGATTTCAAGTTCGGAAGCATTGTCAGATCAGAACTGGCTCGCGAACCATGCCAAACTCATTCAACAACCGACCGTTACCGACCGCGACCGACCGAGACCGTTACCGATCGCGACCGCCGTTACCGGTCGCGACCGGTCGCGACCGGAGCGCGACCGTCGCGACCGGTCGCGCCTGGATTTTTCCAGTAACGGATGATCTGGGCACCCTCCCCCTCAGAAATCGTGGGGGGTAGGGGTAGGGTTCGCATGTGGCCCCCTATCTGGGTGGACGCCTTGTGCTGAGCGCCGGCCCCTGGCAGGGCAGAGAAACCTGCCCTGGGGCGGCCCAGCGCGGCTCCGTTGTGCCGGGCGCCGGCCTTCTGCCAGCCATGGGCGAGCCAGCAGGGAGCACCGGGAGCGACTGTCGCGCGCGGAGGGTGACGGCACTGCATAAGAGATCGAAAGGGCCGAGTGATGCCAGGTGCCCCTTGCCCACGGTGGTCCAGATCTCAGGGTCCGCCGAGGACGAGAGACGCTCCGAAGGCGATGAGCCCTTCGAGGCGACTGGAGCCTCGATCCTCGAGCCTCTGCCCACCGGCAGAAGAAACGCCCGCTCGTGCCCCCCAAAAATAATCGGGTGTTGTCAGAGGTGCCCTCCTCCTCCTCCTCCTCCTCCGCCTCCTCCTCCTCCTTCTCCTCCTCCTCCTCCTCCTCCTCCTCCTCCTCCTCCTCCTCCTCCTCCTTCTCCTCCCCTGTATTCAGGGGAGGCGCAGATGGCCTTCAGGGCAACCCCCAAGATGCCAGGAGGGCCCCAAGGGCTCCAAACTGGCTCGACGAACGAGGCCAGGACCACTTCTTGCGACCTCCGGGAGAAGTCCAGTGCCTCGAGGCCAGTGGATGGCGCATCGTGGGAAGATCGCGGGCCGCCTATGCCCAATGTTGGCAGGAGTAGGGGCACGCCTGGGTCTGACCCTCGGGAGACGATGTCTTATCCAATGCCTCAGCGCAAGCAACACAAGCATTGAGCTCGCCAAGCAGCAAACAAAAGCAGGCAAACTGCATCGTGGTTGTCTAGGTCACTAGGCGCAGGCTGGGAGAGAGGTTTGACATCGGACTCATCCTACTCATCATCCTCATCGACTGAGAGGCGTACCAGACCAGTCACTGGCTTGGTCCGCAACGTAGGAAGATCAAACCTCCCAACCGGCTCAACAGCGCTGCCAGCAAGGAGATTCTCTCAAGGACACCCCCGCCTGACTGGGCCTGCACTATAGATCTGGACTCAGTCGCACCTAGATTGGAGCACGAGAAAGCTGGAAGCACACAGGGCTGGGCTCACATGTGGAACATCTGGAGTCCACGGCCTAGATACGCATGCGGAATCCTGGCGTACCTGGCCAGCCGTAGAGGGGCCGAGCGCTCGAAAGGCATCTGGCCCTTAGTGGGCCCTGGAAACGACAGGGCCGTTTTTGTTACCGGTTCCGTTTTGCCGTTTTTTTGCCAGTTCCGACGCCATTATTTTACCGGTTCCGTCGCCGTTGTTTTACCAGTTCCGGCTCCGGTTCCAATCCTGGAGCCGTTTTTGTTGCCGTGTCCGGTCGCCGTTTTTGTTGCCGTTTCCATTTTCAAGTGACATTTTTTCGGAAGCGGTGAAAAAACGGCCCTGCCGCTTCTGGGGCCCACATTAAGATCTGGCCACATGTTTATCCAGCTCTCGGCCAGGCCAGCCACGTCATGCGTATCCAGCTTCCTGGTACAGTCTTGAGGAGACAAGGCAGGGACAGCCTCACTCCAGTCGGCACCGCTGGCCCTGAAAGGTGAGACCTCAAACGAACACTGATGTAGAAACGAAGGCGCCGAAGGCAGACCGGGAGCGCTACAGAAATCAAGCGAGCGGGGGGGGCTCAGAAGACTGGGGCAGTGGCTTCATGATGACTTCACTCCGCTGCTCTGGCTGTGAAACGGCCACCGCCCGAACTATCGCCCGCCTGGCGCGCCAGCGCTGTTTCCATTTCCAGGGACGCGCCGCGGGTAGCTCTCAAAAGGAACCATTGGCTGCGGGAAGAGCGAGCTGAACTCCACGAAGGCATCGTTGGGGTCGCACCTCATGCGCAGCTCTGGCCGGAAGTATCCCATGGAGTGCCAGAGCTGCATCTCGAGCAGAGTGAAAGGACCCTGAATTACACCCTTGGGGTCCATGTACTGCCAGCCAGCTGTAGGACAGGCCCGATCCTTCCCCTTGCCCCCCTGGGGAGGCGCTTGCGCCTGCGCGTGCGGGGGCGCCTGGGCATGCTGGGCAGCCGCGTGCTGCGCCTGCCGAGACTGCGGATGCTGCTGCGGGTGGTGGGGGTAGCCGCTGTGCATGTCGTGGTGGCCCTGAAGCGCCTGCCGCTGCTGGGCGTACGCCGCCGCTACGGCCGCCTGCCGCTGCTGCTGCTGGTGCTGCTGCTGTTGCTGCTGCTGGTGCTGCTGCATGGCGTACGCGCTATGCCCGTACGGCATGGGCGGCTGGCCAGGGTTGATCGGTCTTGCATTGCCGTAGGCTGCAATGGCAGGGTCGTGGTGGCTGGGAGGCGATGGCTGCCTCTGCTGGTACGCCTGATGCTGCTGCTGCTGTTGCTGCTGCTGCTGCCGTTGCTGCTGCTGCTGCGCAGCCTCCCGCCCCTGCTGCTGCTGCTGCTGCTGCTGCTGCTGCTGCTGCTGCTGCTGCTGCTGCTGCTGCTGCTGTCGTTGCTGCTGCTGCTGCTGTTGCTGCTGCTGCTGCTGCTGCTGCTGCTGCTGCTGCCTGGTGGGCGGCGGCCCCATGGCCACGGGCGGCTGCCCCATTGCCACGGGCGGCCCCATTGCCACGGGCGGCTGGGACGGCGGCTGCAGCCGCGGCTGCGGCGGGGAGCCGATCGGCGACTTCGCCAGCGGCGGCGCCGGAGCGGCCATCGATGCCAAGACCTCGGCGGGGGTTGGAGGGCGGCGCGGGGGGCTCCGGGCCGGCTTCACGGCTGGCTGCGGCCGCTCCTGCGCCGCCCACGGCGCGCTCGGCACTGGCTCCGGCGGCGGCGGCGGCCGCGAGGGCGGAGGCGCTCGCGGGGCCCCCCGGGGGGACTCCGCCGGCGACCTCGCGGGCGCCGGCGAAGGCCCGGGGCTGGGGAGCCGGGTCTCCTTGGCCTCCTCGCCCTCGCCCTTGCTCCCCGACCTCGGCTCGGGCGGGTCCTCCTTGGGGCCCAGCGTGGGCGACGTCTGCGCGTCGGGGTGGTCGCCCTCCCCGCGCTTCTCCCGGGGCTGCCAGGGCTTGCGGCCCTGGCGGTCTGCGTCGGGGGCAGCGACCTCCCCACGCATCATCGCCGCGACGGAGTTCGAGGCGCCCTCCGCGCCCCGCGCCTTCGGCGGCCGGTACGCGGTCTTCTTGGCGGCGGGGCTCTCCTTGGAGCGCTGCGCGCAGGCCTGGGAGGCGCGCAGCACCTCCTCTCGGCGACGCGCGAGGAGTGGCCCGGGGCAAGAGTGACCTGCCCAGACCCCCTCGAGAAGTGGAAAGGTCATGACGGGAGGTGTTTCGCCATGTTCGGCCCCTGGGGGGTCCCTACCGGGCCTCGGGACCGCCAGAAACGACTCGAGCTGAAAAACTGGTCCTGGGGAACAGGCTCAGACCTCGGGGGGTCGACGCAATGAAAAAATCGCTACGTCGGGGGCCTGGGTGTGGCGCGCGGCTTTCAACGGGGGAGGCGGGGTGGCCAAACCTGGGCGCGCAAGCCGCTGCTGCCGCTTCGCCTTCGGCGACCCGGGGGGGGCCCATGGGGCCCCCCGCGGCAAGAGGCCACTCTGGCGAAGGGCACCCCTCCCACGTGCCGCCGGCTCCTCGCTCGGCAGGTCCGCGAAGCGCATGCTGCCCTCGGGCTCCGGCCGCCACTGGACCTCGTAGAGCTCCTCGCTGGGGACCTCGAGGACCCTCGTGCCCGTGAGCGCCTTCCAGATGTGCAGGCCGTTGTCCACGCGCATGCGCGGGAAGAGCACTGCGGTGAGCAGGGAGCGGCCGTCTGCGGCCCACTCCGCCGTGACCGTGCAGTGGGCGGAGCAGCTGGACACGCAGGAGAACTCGCACTTCTCGTCGTCGGTGCGCCCGAAGAAGTCGATGTCCCCCGCGAGGTTGCCAAAGCCTGCGAGGCAGACCAGCGACCCGAAGTGGTTGAACTTCACGAAGTTCCGGTGCGCCTTCTCGATGAGGACCTTGACCAGCGACACCCTCTTGGCCTTCCAGTCCCAGGCGAAGAGCGCCGTCTGCGCGGGCTGGGTCCCACGTATGAGGATGAACTCGTCCCTCGTCGGGCTCCACGACACCGCCTGGACCGCCATCGTCCCCGCGGGCATCGCATCGTCCGGCTCCAGGAGGTCCTTCACGCACGACCCGTCCTGAGAGATGAGCAGCAGCTTCGTCGCGCCGTAGTAGCTCTTCCCGGTCTCGTCCACCTCCGCAAGAGAGCCCAGAATCGAATCGATAAGTCGGACCCGCGATCGAAATGAACCGGATCGGCGGACATCGGCAGCCGAGTCGGGAAAAGTCGAATCGGCGGAGGTCAGCAGGCTAGCATGCCTCCAGGAAGAAATCGGAACCCAGATCGGAAGCCCGAGTCGAATCGAAGCGGACTCGGCAGCCATCGAAGCCGAGTCGGATCGAATCGGAGGAATCGAACTGAGCCCTGCCTCCGTCGTGCAGTTTGCGAGAACGGCGGTGCCGCTGGGGCACCACAGCAGCTCGGCGTTCTGGCCCGACTGCACGGGGGTGCTGGCCCTCTGCTGCGTCGACACCTGCAGCCCCTGGCCGCTGGTGAGCACCTCCCAGATGGAGACCTCCGCGGGCGCGGCGACCTGAGGCGAAGCTAGGACGAGGACCGAGGACGACTGCGGGTGAGGATGCCGTGGAAACGTGTAACAGGGACGGGCGGTCAGCACGCAGGACTCTCGGGGGCCAGAGCAGGGATTCGTTGGTGGCGGCGGGCGAGCAAAACGCCCCAGGGTACCTCCAGAGGCTGGCCAGTGGAAGCGGCAACGGACGGGCCGCAGACGCAAGGACACAAGGGCACCCCAGAACAGGCGCGCGCCCTTCCTTTGCGCGTGGACTGCAAGCTCGGGCGAGGGCAAGTCGAGAACCTCTGAGGTCCTGCGGCTGTGGAACATGTCTCGGGCGCCGCGGCCTTCTCAGAGCGTCCCGGAACAGACTCATCCTCGTCCCAGCCCAACCCGCCGACCCGCTGCAGGTCGTCGCGGACGTCGGGCAGGAAGGCGGCCATCCGGGCCTGCAGCGGCACGCAGGGGCGGAGCCCCGCCGCGAAGTCGAAGTTCTCCGCGCCGTGGGCGAACGCGAACTCGTGCAGGGGCGAGCCGGCGGGGTCCGCGCCGTCGTGCAGCTGGATGCGGCCGTCGGGCATGAGGCGGCCGCAGAAGGTCTCGTCCTTGGTCCACTTGATGACGTGCCGATCCGTGGCCAGCCGGGGGTGGTGGAAGGAGGCCGCCAGGAGGTACTCGCCGGTGCCCCCGCCGCTCTCGCAGCCCTTGTCGGAGACGTTCCGCCGCCAGACCTGCAGGTTGTCCTCCTGCAGGAGCTCCGCGCCGCCCTTGGACCGCTGGGCCGCCGTGGGCGGCACGGCGATGGTCACGAGGTTGTAGGCCAGCGGCGACCAGTAGAGGCCCTGGGTGCACTTGGAGCTCTTCTCGATGACCACGGTCTGGAAGCTCGGCCCTGCACCCTCGCCCTCCGCAAAGTCGACGATCGTGACCCCGGCGGAGGGGTCCACGAAGGCGAGCGCCATGCCGTCGGGGCTCCACGCGGCAACCTTCACGGTGAACTGCGGCATGCTGGCATTTGTTGCTTCGTCGCTCTCGGCCGACACCTCGTCTCGGGACGGGTCCACCGTCAGGTACTTCATGCCGTCCTTGTCTCTGACAAAGAGCGGAAGCGACATTGCCGTGTTCATGGCCCCTTGGAGAGAAACAAACTCTGCTCTCCTCTGCAATCACAACAGAGCCAGCCCTTGAGAACGCATGGTTCGAGCAAAAACGACTATCGCGCTGTTTCTTGTCCTTCAAACGCTCCTACGCTCCTCCATCCCATCCTCCATTTCCGCATCATCTCCCTCCACGTCGCCCACCTCCTCCCCATCCCCCCCGATACCCCTTGTCGTCCTCGTCCCTCCGCCTTCCTTTTCGGCTCCTCCTCTTGCCCGTGTTTCGACGTCACAAGTCCCCCCTCTGCTTGCCCCTTCCTGTTCTTCTACTCCTCCTTCTACTCGTCATCCGCCTCATGATCATCTTCACTCTCCGCGGGCGTGCCAAGCCGCACGAGATGCACGGGTCTACTCTGGTCGCTCCAGTACGACTCTGGCTGCTGATACGCATGCTGCTGGGAGAACGCGGGGAAGCGAGACTGAGAGATTGAGAGGGGGAAAGGGAAAAGCATGAATCCTGTGCACTACGATTGCCCTAACGGTGTCTGTCCTACTCGGAATGCTCATCATATGTTTCTCCTCCTCCTCCTCCTCCTCCTCCTCCTCCTCCTCCTCCTCCTCCTCCCCCCCTCCTCCCCCTCCTCCTCCTCCTCCTCCTCCTCCTCCTCCTCCTCCTCCTCCTCCTCCTCCGCCTGGGTGCCAGGGCCCGAACTCAACGAAAACACACACAAGGCTTGCAACAAAAGTTTGACCCCCTGATCTCAGGGCCCCCGGCAGCTGGAGGAATCGGCAGCTGCGGAAAGCCGAGGGGGGACAGAGCTGCGCGGCCCTCCCCGCGGGAACCGGCGCGTCCACGCCTCCTCGAAGGTCTCGGCGAGGATGTTCTCCTCGCCGCGTACCTCCCCCAGCAGCCTGGGGGCCCAGGCGAGGGGATGTGCAGGCCCGGGGACGAGATGAAACAGCGTGTAAGCTGCTCCTGACTGCGACGCTCGAACAGCAACAAACCGTTTCGCCTGTTGGAGGAGGAGGAGGAGGAGGAGGAGGAGGAGAAGGCAGATGACCGCGCGCGAACCCTACCCCTACCCCGCACGATTTCTGAGGAGGAGGGTAGGGTTCACTTCGTCCGGGAGCTCCCGAGCGAAGTGAACCCTACCCTCCCCCTCAGAAATCGTGCGGGGTAGAGGTAGGGTTCGCATGTGGCCCCAGGAGGAGGAGGAGGAGGAGGGAGGAGGAGGAGGAGGAGGAGGCCCCCTTTCCTGCAGAGCAGCTGGACGCCACGAGTTCCGAGCCTGTTCCTGCCCCGTCCCTCCTCCTATCGCACCTCTGCCTGCCTGTGGCTCGGCCCTCTGCACCTTCCGGCGCGGAGGTCTTCCCTGCAGGGTCCGTTTCAACCTGTCTGTGGACGGACCCCTGGTGGAGCAGTGCTGTGTCCCGCCTCCTCCTCCTCCTCCTCCTCCTCCTCCTCCTCCTCCTCCTCGGGGATCAGGCTCCTCCTCCTCCTCCTCCTCCTCCTCCTCCGCCTCCTCATCCTCCTCCTCCTCCTCCTCCTCCTCCTCCTCCTCCTCCTCTCCTCCTCCCTCCTCCTCATCTCATCTCATCATCATCCATCATCATCATCATCATCATCAGCAGCAGCAGCAGCAGCATCATCATCATCACCATCATCATCATCATCATCATCACAGCAGCATCACCATCATCATCATCATCATCATCATCATCATCATCATATCATCATCAGCAGCATCATCAGCATTATCATCATCATCACCATCATCATCATCATCATCATCATCATCAGCATCAGCAGCATCATCATCATCATCATCATCATCATCATCATCATCATCATCACATCATCATCATCATCATCATCATCATCATCATCATCATCATCATCAGCATCATCATCATCATCATCATCATCATCATCATCATCATCATCATCATCAGCAGCATAATAAGAATCATCATCATCATCATCATCATCCTCAGCATCATCATCATCATCAGCAGCAGCAGCATCATCATCATCATCATCATCTGACTAATCAGCATCATCATCATCATCATCATTAACATCATCATCAGCAGCATCAGCATCATCAACATAATCAGCATCAGCAACATCATCATCATCTTACTAATCAACATCATCATCATCAACAACAGCAGCATCAGCATCATCATCAGCATCAACAACATCATCATCATCATCATCATCATGATCATCATCATCATCATCATCATCATCATCATCATCATCATCCTTCTCCTCCTCTTCCCTCCTCCTCCCTCCTCCTCCTCCTCCTCCTCCTCCTCCTCCTCCTCCTCCTCCTCCTCCTCGGGACTCAGGGCTCAGGACTGGCGGCGCTGGGGTTCGGCGCTGAGATCTGCCGCCCCCCAACAGATCAAGCCAGGTAGCGAGGCAGAAAGTCGCAGACGGAGGGCCTTCCTGGGGGCGGGGCAGTCAGGCCTCCCAGCGACCCCAGGGGGGGGGGAGAACGACGACCTCGGAGGAGGAGGACGACGACGACGAGGAGAAGGAGGAGGTGGAGGCGGAAGGCGACCGCGCGGGTGGGTGGGAAGTGCCCCGCGGCGAGCGAGGGGCCTCTGGGCGAGCGGAAACGGCCAGGGGAACGCTCGGGCCAGGAGCACAGCACAAGATCAGTGTTGAGCAAGACCCTCGACGTCGGTGGCAGCTCATGGAGCTTCCCAAACCAGCTGATCCGCTCTTGCGAATCGGCGCTGGTCGACGCTAAGTCGACGCTGATCGACGCCAGCCGACGCTACGTCGGCGCTATCTCGTCGACCCCCAGGTGCTGATCGACGCTGATGAACGCTAGAGACGGCACGAAGAGGGCATTCCAAGCCCCCATGATTTGCTACCGAACTCGACGGCCCAAGAAACTCCGAGATCCCAAGACGGTGCGGTGACCACACCGTCGGGCGATGCTGTGCGACCGAACGGCGTTTGTTCGGGACTGACGCCGCTCTCCGACGAAAAGTCTCGGGCGGCGGGGGCCCCCCGGGGTCCCAGAACCGCGCGGGGCGGCTGACCGCGCGGGCCGAGGTCTTCTCGGGACGTGGATGTCACCGCGCAGCTTGTGACCGCACCGTTTGCTGGGACGCCCGAAACGGCAAACTACAAGAAGGTGTGCCTCCTGCTCCTCCTGCTCTTCCTTCTCTTCCTCTTCCTCCTCTTCCTCCTCCTCCTCCTCCTTTCAAGCCACTTGGGCCCGAACTATTCCGGCGGGGTTCATTCTCCTGTGCTTTCTCGAAGCGCTTGAGGGACTGTGCCCGCGCACCCCACCGAGGAATTGCGCGGCACCGACTAGAGCAGGAGCGAATCGTCAATAACTCTAGCCATGGCACCTGGTGCTCGTCTGTGGACTCCCTGTCCGACATGCCAGTCCTGCGCGAGTACAGCAGCGTCCTGACACGTAATCTCTGCGTCTGCGGCCACTGTGGAGAGGAAGTTGTGCTGCCTCGCCCGAAGTCCAAAGGGCCAAAGGTGCAGTTTGATCTATCTGATTAGTGGGAAGGAGGAGGCCACCCTCGCGCACCCGAAGGGGATCCTCCGCGACCCGAGGGGCGCCTCGCCAGCCAGCGGCCCCTAGGGCTGGCAAGGGCGGCCTTGGGCGCAGCAGTGGCAAGCAGCCGCCGTGGCGCGAGCAGGCTCCCGAGGGGGGGCAGCCCTGCAGAGGTCGCCTCTCTGCTAGCTCGCGCGGCGGCGGTCACAAGCGATGATCGTCTTGAGAGCACGCTGCAGCAGGAGGTCGTCAAGCTGGAGCGTGAGGTCGTTGAATCCAAGCAGCAGGAGACCTCGGCCGTGGAACTACTACGCCGTGCAGATGGAGTTTATCGCAATGCTGATCATACGCGTTCTCAGGCCGTCGCCAACGTTCTGCGCTTCGCAACTCGCTCGCGTCGGCGGAGTCCAAGGAGGCGGAGTTGTCCAAGCAGCTGGCGCAGGCGGCTCTGGCCAGGAAGGCTGCGGCAGCGGCGGTGGCCCACGCCGAGGGAGTGGGCGGCGCCGCCGAGTCGCAGGATGGCGGGTCGACTTCGAAGGCAGATGATAACAAGCGCATCTTTCACATTTCATGGGACACTGATTTTTTCAGTAAGATCGGCGATCTCGAGCGCGAATAGGGCGAGCGCGCAGGTCTGAAGGAGATCCAGGAGCGCCGGTTGGCCACCGAGAAGGAGACGTCGGCCAAGGAGACTGAAGTCAGCGATTGGCTGACCCGCATGGAGAAGCATCGCGCTGAGATCGCCGACCGCCTCGCGAAGAAGCGGAAGGTGAACCTCGAGGCCGACGCGGGGGCAGCTGCCTCAGGCGGCGGCGGCGGCGGCGGGGCTCCCGCGGGCGAGCCCCACGCCGAGGCGGCCCGCTGCGCTGCCGCCGCTGCCTCGGCAGCCGCCACCCCGCAGGCAGAGGCTGCCCAAGCTGCCGCGGCCGAGGCTGAGGCACAGCGCCTCTCCGCGGCCAAGTTCGCGGCGGAGCAGCACATCGGCAAGGGCGCGAAGGGCCAGTCGCCCGCGGACATTGCGGCCGCGGCTGGCGGGGCCGGCGCCGCCAGCTCGCGACTAGCTTCAGCGGCGCCGAGCGCCGAAGCGGCACAGGTTGCGCAGGGACCTGCTGCCGCTGACGGGGAGCGCGCGAATGGCGTTTCGCGCCTATTCTACGCCAGCGTGTCCTGCATGGGGGATAAGGCCTGGTCGTACATAGAGCACTCCGACGATGACTTCTACGCGATAGTGGAGACACATGTACATCAACAGGCCGCACTTCATCGTTGGGAAGGCAAGGCCAGGGGTCGTGGCCTTCGCACAGTCTTCAATCCCGCTCGTCCGCGTGATAGACATGTATCGTTGTCACAGGAGGAGCATGCCAATGAGGGTGGCGAGTGGTTGCTTGCCAAGAATCATGTTCGTGTTCATCGTCTGCCAGCTGTCCGACTGCGGGATCGCGGCTCATGGGGCCGCCCCACAAGGCGCTGGATGGCTTCTCTGCCATGCTAGTCCACTTTCACGGGTTCTCGATGGTAGCCATTACGCTCTACGCCTTCCACAGCATGGGGCTCGCGGGGGCCAATGTAGGC